CAGGTGAATCCGTCCACAGACAGATGCTGGAATTGTTTTCCCTCGCCAAAACCAAATTTCCATCAGCCAACGTATTCGCCACCCAGATACCAGTTTCTTCCATCCTCCAACGCCAGAGACCAAATTTAGCCGCCAACTTACGAAAATTCAACGACCTTCTTTTTCATAAGCCATCTCCGTTTGCAAAGACTATGCCGCGATTCAATGGAATGATCGAGGTAAACCATTTAGATCTCGTCCACTGGACGGCCCCCACTGCCAAATCTGTATATTTAAATTGGGTCTCCCATTTAAACTAAACGCGGGGGGAAATATTCCAAAATTAGGACAAACTGTTGTCAATTTAAGTTCACAAATACTTTCTCCCCTTGAAGAAAGACTTCTGGACAAATGGTTAACCTTCATACCCACCCATAAACCATTTTCCATTGTACCAATTTTTACATCGGTAACTGAAGTTCACAGAACATTTAAATTGAATTATTACTTTCGCGAAAAACTTGGCCGCGGTAAACGAATCAAATTTACGGATAGATCTGGCTGGAATCCACCAGATAATGCGATTGACAAAGATATTTTAACTATTTGCGACAATTTATATGAAGAAATTTCTCATTTGCCTTTGGTGAATGAGAAAAACAATCTTACCAATTTTGAACGAAAATCTCTCAATAATCTAAAAAATGACAAAAACATTATTATCAGGAAAAGTGACAAAGGCAGTTGCTGCGTCATTCAAAATCGCGATGACTACATTTTTGAAATTGATAAACAGTTGAACAATCCAAATCACTATCGCCAACTTGATACACCTATTTTTATGGAAACTGCGCGAGAAATAAACAATATTCTACAAACTTTGGTAAAAAAGAAATTTATTTCAGAAAAGCAATATGACTACCTTTCCGCGTCCACTGAGCCTCGCCAACGACACATTTACACGCTTCCGAAAATTCATAAAAATTCCCAAACTGAGTGGTCCATTGCCAACAAAATTCCTTAAGGTAGACCAATCATTTCTGATTGTTCTAGCGAATCATACCGAGTTTCAGAATACATAGATTACTTTTTACTGCCACTAGCATGCCAACACCCTTCTTATCTGAAAGACACAACTGATTTTGTTGAAAAAATCAAGAAATCGGACATTCCCGAAAACGCGTATTTCATTTCTTTGGACGTAACCAGTATGTATACCAACATTGACAACAATGTTGGTCTTGACGCCGTCCGTAAGGCATTTGTTCGATATCCATGTTCTGATCGACCTGATACAGAGATTTCAACAACTTTCTTTCCTCTAAAAAATTAGACATTAAAGTATTTTTTAAGGAAACTGATACCCACCAACTTTTATACAAAAGCTCGTTCCACCCGAAGCACACATTTTCTGGAATAATTAAATCTCAAATTCTCAGATTGCATAGAATTTGCACCCAGCAGGCTGAATTTGAATCCGCCTGTAAACTAGTTTTTGACTAATTAAGGGAGAGGGGTTATTCCAAAAGGTTTCTTTGAAAATTAAGAATGACACGCTTTCAGACATTTTGAGAAAAGAAGACCCCCCTCCACCTTTTATTGGATTCGGTTCATTTCCCTGTGGAGGTCCTACTTGTCGCACATGCGAACACATACATGTTACCCATTTTTTTCAAAAATTACAAGAACGGAAAATTGTTTGCGATGAATAACCTAATTTCTTGCGGAGATCAAAATATCATATACCTAATTTCTTGTAAAAAATGCGATGTACAATATGTTGGCGAGACTCAAAATGCGCTTCGAACGCGATTCAATGGCCATCGCTATGATATAGTGCATGGCAAGGATAGACCAATTGCGAATCACTTCAACCTTCCCGATCATTCCATTGATGACCTTCTCATCATGCCTATAGAAACAGTTTCTACATCACCTAGCATGAAACCTAAGCTTACACGTCTACAACGCGAAAGTTATTGGATCGATCAACTGCAGACTGTGAGACCAAATGGACTCAACATTCAACATGGTAACCAGATAATACCCTTTATAACGACATTTGATTCTACAGCTACCAAAGCCTCCATAATAGTCAAACGCCATTACTCGGAACTTCAGAACAAATTTCCCCATGTATACACAAAACGTTTGGTTGTAGCTTACAAAAGAAATCAAAATCTTAGCAATTTCCTCTTTCACGGTAGACTTGAACCATTGAACAATATCCATTCATCCTAGGAGCATAGATTTGTTAATATAAATGTATCATGTTCTATCAATAAATTAATCTATTTCTGAGTTAGATTTCAGGGAATACTTATTTCAGGACTGTTGCCATGGCTATATACAGTATATTATATAACATGCAGTGTATTTTTGTGTTTGTGTCTTTTCAACTAAAATCATACTAATGACTAACTAATTTTCACATAATTAATAGACTTATCTATTGCTCTGTGACCTAGGCCAGTGCTTTCATTGAGACTCGTCTCAATACACCCTAACACTAACCTGAATCTATGGTTTAAACATTTCTTTAACTGTTACCAACATCTACCATTTACTGTCTTTCCTAATTATAATCTATAATCTCTGAGTTCTTCTGTTTTGTAGGTATTCTAGTAGTGATAAACTTACTGTGTAAAGCTGAAATATAGAAAACTTCGTTTAAATATCAAGTTACTAGGCTTTAAATCATGTCTCCTTGCAATTACTTTCAAAGTATAGGCTTATAATTAAATTAGGGTTTATAAGAAAAAAGAATTTAATCCTACATTGGGTTAATCAGCCACTGACAGTGACACTAGACTAGACTATGATCTTAATTGGATTATATCAATTAGCCAGATTCCACAAAGATTAATTAGCTTATTGGCTGATATAGTACATAGCAACTGCATTGACTATGGAAACCAACTATTTTCAATTTTATTTTAATAAAGTTCTGGGCAGTGGGCAGTTAGATAATAAAATAGGTTTTTCTGAGTCTTTCATTACCTGTGGTAATATGAAGTTAAAAATTTGTCAACTTAAAAAAAAAATGGCAAAATGGGATTGTGGTTCTAAAGTTAAAACCACCCTGGTACCCGCTTTCACTCGACGCATTTCAACTTATTTCAAAAATAAACAAGCATAATTTTACAAACGATTACAAAACTGGGAATGCCTTCATCAACGAGGTTAACAGGTCCTAAACTTAATGTAAACAAAATAATCAAGTCTCTGCAATTAATCAAAGTGCAACTTAATGGGAACGACCCATTTATAAGCCTAATTCTAAACCTATAGTATTTATTTGTGAAAAAGGTCAAATGTGCCCCCAATTTTTAAGACGAGGTATCATATTCACATAAGGCTTGAGGAAGATTATGATTGAATGCACCAACAATTGCAGCCAAATTCTAATGAATTGAAATAAATAAAAGCCCGATTATTAAATAAATTTCGGTCATTCAAATGGAAACGCCACGTTTATGTTTATTTATCTCTCCACGAACATGTCTGCCTGCATTTTTGTTGACAGTTTTGGCTGGAGTTTAGACTTGTCTCCAAGTCACAGAAAGTGCATCAACAATCAGGGACTGGTTTTATGTCACTCATACATTTCTTACTAAATGCAGAGTCACCAAACTTACGTTCACGTTGTTGCGCAACGGACAAATCTTGAATTTCCTCAAAATGAGAAGGCATGGCATGCACACACTGTACCGGAAATAGAATTTTTGAAACCGGAAGCAAGTGCAAATTATCTTGATTTTCCGCTTTCTATTGACATTGAGATCTTCTCACCTTGACAACTCTGTTCAAAGAGTTCTTAAACCCACCATGGACTCTTTATTCAATTAAATGTCTGATGAATGCCCAAAAATTCACATCATTTTCATAGTTGAACTTCAAACCCAAAATCTAAAAATACGTAATAGTCTCGTGACTTCTCGCGAGATAAAGTAGACGGGGTTGTTGAGACTGACAGTGAATTTTAGTTTCGATTATCCAGTCTTATTAATCAAATTGGATTCAGTAGCTAAAAAGTTTTATTGCTCCCTTCAAAGCGGTTGATCTAAATTTGAAAGATCACTATTCACTAGATAGACGTTCAATGGATATAAAACTCACCTTACATTGATACCCTAATGGACCGAAATGCCAGCAGCCTAGTGGGTAGGCCTAAAACTAGCTTAAGGAAGGCGAAGGGGGTTTTATTACCCAATAGATCAACTAGTCTAACCTTTTATTTCTTCTACCCACCCAACCCATATTTAATTTTCTTCCATGGAATTAGACTGCAATATGTTTTATGAACTATGAAGAGACAAAAAGTTTGAACGTTTTGTCATTAGTCGCAATAGCTTGACATTGTGAAGATGTGATTCAAGGACAGTGGTTATTGTAGTCAAGGTATTGGCCGAAGGTTGTAATAGCTTGACATTGTGAAGATGTGATACAAGAATAGTGGTTATTGCAGTCAAGGTATTGGCCGAGGGTCGTAATAGCTTGACATTGTGAAGATGTGATACAAGAAAGGGGCTATATTGCAGTCAAGGTATTGGCCGAAGGTCGTAATAGCTTGACATTTTATGAAGATTCTGAATTAAACCATCCACAGTACTATAAATAATGGAATCAGCCCTGCCATGTCAGCAACACCTTACAAATTATATATTTTAGTGTAGCCTTAATACACCTTATTCAAGAGTCGCCCATAATGAACAAGGTTCATTACGCAAACCAACAAAGGTAACGTCGTGTCACTGCAGTAAAATCGCAGCCTTGGCGTCTTTAACGTCTGCCTCTCCAATCCCACAAACTCAAAACAAATCTATTTAATGATACTTTCAGATGAATTTGACCTTCACACATTTCTGAGAAAGGTCATTTATTTTCTTGCTGTTGATCGGGTGATCATTCAATTGATCACGTAATTTGCATTAGGAACCTTGCTTTCAGTGTCTCAAAAACGAGGCATGAATTATAAATAAGGTCATTTCAATGAAGTTGTAAAACAAGATCTCAAGAACTTATAGTCTCCAATCTATTTCTGATCTTTCAAATTTCTTCAGAGCTTCGTTGGTTTTCGAGAAACATTTGCAGCCGAGAAAATGTTTCACACTTAAAGGAGAGGGGTGTCCATTTTTTATAACACAATGTTTTTTATCGTCTATAATTTTGCCCTTTTTTTGAGCGAAATTTCCCCACAGGATAAAAACCACTCTGTCACACTGGTCGCTGATGATTCCAATTATTTTATCTGTAAATTTCTGCCAACCATAATCTTTGTGAGAATTTGGAGTGTGTGCTCTGAAAAAAAAGAGTAACCAAAATTTGAATTTAGCCTCAGCAGTTGTCCCCTCATTGAGTCAGTCTGCCCCCTATTTGTACCCCCAGTCTCGGAAGGCTGGTGCCGCCATTGCTTGTCTGCCCACGCAATGTCTTCATTACAACACAATGTTTCACTTTCAATCCCCACAAATACTAAAGATTCTAACTTACTGTACAGTTAAAGTTGCATTGAGTAATAGAACTCCTCTTTTAGCCCATTTAGTCAGATCACCATGACCAGGAATTTTAAACCCAGGAATATCTTTATCTGTTTTTAATTCTGTATATATATTCTTTAAAGATGGTGGTACAGTTATTCCTTCTGGGACAGAAAAACACAACCCCATTGCCTGAAATTTGAAAAAACTTCATTCACATCATTAATTTAAATAATATCCTATTTCTGTATATGGCATTAGTACGGTAATTGGTATACATGTACATTTTTTACCAATTGTACTACTTCGTAGCGAATTTTTTAGCTAAACCAATCAGTGATAAGGTTCACAGCTCACTGTCGAAATTTGAGTCTTCAAATCCAAGTGTGTCTAGAATCATCGGCATTGAATGTTAAAATGACGACTTATCAATTTAAGATACTCTATGATATATAGAAAGACATATACAGAAATAGTGAATAAAATTCATTTTCTTACATTCAACAAGACTATTTACATGCACTCAACACTCAAATCTACCCACCAAAATGGCGCACCTGTCCCTTTAAATAATATCTTATCTATTTTGAGATAGTGAATTTCTACATTGAACAAAATTTTGACTTATTAAAATTTGAGCAGAATGAGATATCTCAGTCTGTCCTCTATTGTACCCCCAGTTGCAAGACGATGGCAGCACCACTGGATCAGCCCCGACGCTAGGAATGAATTGGTGCTGGGACTCAGAATTTTCACTCCAAGAGAAATTATTTCTGACAATTTTGAGGTGCCAAAAACTTATCAAAATCTATATCTTTATGACTTTGTACAAAGACACTGTAAATAAATCATTCTCTGCTGAACTGAAGAAGGTTTTGCTGGGGCTTAATTATCACTTCCTACTTACTTGCAGCCCCACAGACCCCACCCTAACGACGGGGAACTTGTACAATTGATGAAAACAATTACCTGTCCGTCATCATGATAGGGATCCTGTCCAATTATAACTACCTTTATCTATAATAACAAATTACAATACAGAATAATAACTACCTTTATCTATAATAACAAATTACAATACAGAATAATAACTACCTTTATCTATAATAACAAATTACAATACAGAATAATAACTACCTTTATCTATAATAACAAATTACAATACAGAATAATAACTACCTTTATCTATAATAACAAATTACAATACAGAATAATAACTACCTTTATCTATAATAACAAATTACAATACAGAATAATCAATACCTTTATCTATAATAAATTACAATACGGAATAATCAATACCTTTATCTATAATAACAAATTACAATACAGAATAATCAATACCTTTATCTATAATAACAAATTACAATACAGAATAATCAATACCTTTATCTATAATAACAAATTACAATACAGAATAATAACTACCTTTATCTATAATAACAAATTACAATACAGAATAATAACTACCTTTATCTATAATAACAAATTACAATACAGAATAATCACTACCTTTATCTATAATAACAAATTACAATACAGAATAATCAATACCTTTATCTATAATAACAAATTACAATACAGAATAATAACTACCTTTATCTATAATAACAAATTACAATACAGAATAATAACTACCTTTATCTATAAAAACAAATTACAATACTGTATCCCATTGTTGAGTTGTAATCAACCAGTGGCGGAGCCAGGTTTACGTCCGAGGGGGGGGCGAAATATCTGAAATTGCTAAAATTTCTAATATAGTTGTGAGATTTTTGCCCGAAAAACTTGCTTTCGGGGCTGCAAGGGGGGGCCACTGTAATCAACTGTTGAATACAATACAGACTAGCATTTAAAGTCCAAACTCCACCATCTGCCTGCCATTTAAACTGCTCTATCAGACATGTACAGCAATAACAGCTGAATCAACAGCCCTAAGTACAATCAGTGAAAAAAGGTTTGAAATCTGGGGTCCAGATGAGGGGATAACTCAATATGATACTTACATCATTAATAGGGGTAAGATTCAAGGCATTGAATATCAAGTCTTCTGGAGGGAATATCTCTTTAGTTTTGTAGTCAGCGTCTAATTTTTGCTCCAGTTTTACCATATACTCCTGTTTAAACTCTTCTTCAAGGGCTGATCTCCATCCTTCATCTTTTATTAAAGACTTCAAATCTGTAGATTTACTTCCTGTTTTAGTCGTTACCAAACTAGGTCCAGGGGGGACTGAAAGACAAAAAGGGCAGGATTATTGTGGGGTAGGGGTGGTTGGTGTTGACTATGCCAAACACGTTGACTGAGAAATATGGGCAGTGAAACTGAAAGACCAAGGAATTTAATGGGGTAAGAGATGGTTGCAGTAACGTACCTACCTACAGGGCCCACTAGAAAAGAGGCTGCCCCCCCCCCCCCCTTCCAACTTTCCATTTTTTTTTATCATTGTACAAGAATTGTCTGTGAGTCCCATATATGTGACCCTGCACATCAAACCAGGTATTAAGTAGCATTTGGTGTATGTAGAGCTATTAGTATATTTGGATTCCTGGCATCATCAGCTACATTTTGATACCAATTCTCAATAGCTTTCTCCTTTCAGAAGATATAGTCAATTTAATATCCACATTTCAGTCGATTAATGAAAACGTCATTTTAAGAGAAACGAGGTAGTAAAGAGACAAGATGAAAATTTCCTTAGCAACCATTCAGCTATATAAAAAATACTGGTTACAAATAAAGTTAAACACTTCTAGATACAAAATCATACAATATTCCAGAATTTCAACCCATCCAACCATGTCTTCATCCCAACTTTGTAAGTTGAACTTTTTAAAAAGCTTATTACTGGGCAATGTGACTTAATACCATGTGCGGGGTCCTATATATA